GGGAAGTTACAGAGGGAACAGGTGATGTCACTGAAGGCTCAGGGGACTTCACAGGTGGCTCGGGGGATTTTACGGCCTTGACCTCCTCTTTGGGGGCCGGCCTGCGGATTGTCAGGGTGAAGTGAGCCTCCTGTCGACCGGCCGAGTTCTCCACCACCACCGTGTAGCTGCCCTCATCAGAAATCGTCACAGACGAGATCTCCAGACTGGATTTGTACTGAGAGGAGGTGACGAGGACGCGATGAGATGAAACAATGGTTGTGGTCTCGTGCATCCATGTTACGGTAGGAGCTGGCTCCCCGTCGATGTCACAGGAGAATCGAGCCGTCTCTCCCTCCGCAAGCGTCACAGACTGAGGCTTGGTGAGGATTTTCCCGGGAAGAGAAGGTTTCTCCTTGTGAACTACCTCAGCAGCAGCAGCAGAGGAAGACTTCAGTTTAGTCTCAGATGTGGCATGTTTCCCGGTCATGGAAAACCTTTCTGATGAGTAGGAAGAGCTGGACGATAGATATTCCGCGGAGGCGTACTTGATTGAGGAGTCGTAGCGCTCAGCAGAGGAGTAGCGCTCAGCAGAGGAGTATCGCTCAGCAGAGGCACCCAGTCTTTCGCGTGTAACAACCTCCCTCGTCTCAGTCAGCTTGGACTTGCTCTCCTCCACCTGGAGCTGTGTCTGGGAGGCATACCCTGCCTTGAAGTGGGTGGTGTGATAGTGGTCAATTCGAGTGATTTCAGGGACGTGTGCTTTGGGGGCGTCCTCATCTCTGCGGCGCGATGAGAAGGTCGTGTATCCGCCGCCGGACACCTCCAGGGTGGCGTAGTCTGATGCCTCTCCTTTGGAGTTGGAGCAAACACAGCGGTATGTGCCGCTGTCCTCCTCCCGACACTCCAGAATGGTGATGGACAGAACGCCAGTCATGTTGGTGAAGATGTATTTCTCACTGCTCTCTGAGATCTCACTTCCGTTGTGGAACCATGTGACCTGGCCCTCTGGCTTGGCCTGGATGTTCAGGGTGAATTTTGTGTCCTGGCCGATGGGGATGCGATGAGAGCGCATCCTGACGGTCACACGGGGAGCGTGATCCAGACTGAAAGGTGTCTGGCTGACCACCTGGTACTTCCTCTCAGACTTCAGGGCGGCCTTTCTGGCTTCGTAACGGGACATGATGTCAAAGCGGGCCGTCCGCTCAAACCTGGAAGAGGAACGGGACGACCTCTCCAAAGACCTGATGGGGCTGGGAGAACGTGGACGGGTCCGCTCAGGGGTTGGCGACCTCCTCTCCACGACCTCTCCCTCAACTTCCACAGGGGGCCTTGTGCGGGGGGGTCTGATCAGCTCTGAGACTGGTCGCATCAGCTCAATATAAGTTGGAGAGAGTGACCTTCTCCTTCTCATAAACTGAGAAATGGTGCGTTTCTTTTTGGTCTCGGTGACCTCGGCAGCCTCGTGCCTGACTTCCTGCCTTCTCTCCTCGTGTTCTACCACCCGGCGCTCACCGCGAACGGGGCTGCCCACAGGAGAGGCAGAGAATCCCAGCTCCAGTTCATCCTCCAGCATCATCTTCCCCTCCTCTGTTCTCCTCATGGACATGTAGTCATCCACTGGCATCATCAGCTCCTCATCACTCAGGTCTCCCAGGGATCTCCTCCTGGATCTGAAGGAGACTTCGGATTCAGGAGAGGGTGAACGGCGTCCTGGTCTAACAGTCTCCAGATCATCCAAAGTGAGTTTGGGAATGCGCCACCTGGGCCTGTACTGGTCAGTGATCCTGGGAAGAGGCATGACGTAGAACTGCTCCCACCTGGACAGACGGATACGCCTCTGCCTCTTCTGGACAATCCTCTCTGTCCTCTCAGGAAGCTCATACTGGTCTCTCAGCTTGCGGTACCACTTCATGTCAGACAGAGGTACAAACTGTTTGATGGTTTTGTCCTCATCCAGAGCTCTAGGATCATGAACCACAGGCTCAGGAACTTCATAGGGCAAGAACAACCTCCTCTCTTCCTCCAGTTTCTTGGTCTCCGTCTTCTCCTCCCTGATGTCAAACTCGCCCTCGATGTTCTTCGTGCTCACTGCAGGTTTGTACACGTCCGCTGCAAATTTGAGAGCCTCCTGAGCAGTGGGGTTAAGAGGCACCATCTCCTCAGTGGCAGCGATCTGCTGAGCCATCTTGTTGGTCTTTTCGATCTGTTTCTGAATGTGTAGGTACTTTTCCTCCTCGCTCCTGTACTCCCTCCTGGTGTAGGTGAGGCGGTCCACCTTCAGAGTTGCCTGGCAGCTTGCAGAGCCGGTGGAGTTGGTTGCTGTGACTTTGTAGACTCCAGAGTCCTCCAGCAGAGTTTCCCTGATGTGAAGGATGTGATAGTCAACGTCCTCCTGTATGACAACGACTTTGGGGCCAAACTGCATGGGATGACCATCCTTCTCCCATTTCAGAGTAGGACTGGGGACTCCTGAGACTCTGAGTTCAAAGCGGACACTCTGGCCCTCCACGCAGTCAATATTAGCCAGCAGGCGTTTGAACATGGGCCTCATAGTTTCCTCAGCCACAGGGTGAGGAATCACAGTGAGACGAGCCTGGCAGCTGTCCTCTCCGAACTTGTTGTGGGCCATGACGGTATATTCGGCCTCATCGCTCTTGTCCAGGTTGTGGATCAGGAGCTGGTACAGGCCCTTATCACTGATGAAGGTGTACTTGCTGTCGTCATCGCCTGCCTTGATTCTCTCTCCGTTCTTGAGCCATGTCACACGAGGCTCTGGGTGCACCGTAATGGTGACCCCAAAGCGCACGTCTTCACCGATGTATGCAGTGGTGTTGTAGAGGGGCAGAGTGAACTCTGGTGGCCTCTGCAGGAGCTTAGTCTTGTCGACCTTCCTCCTCAGCTTCTTGATGGTGCGACTGATGTAGTGCTCCCTGATGGTCCTCACGCTTTCCACAAAGAGCTCTCCATAGGCACTGTCCTCTCCATCGTCACTCACCACTTTGCATCTGTAGACGCCGTCATCGCTCTCTTCTATGTCCTTCACATAAATGCTTGCAAAACCGTTGCTGTAGGTGATCTCGTACTTGGGGCTTGGGTGCAGCTGGCGGTTACCGAAGTACCACGACACCTGAGTGCTCTTGTCATATTTGACGATGCTGCAGGTGAACCTGACATGGCCGCCCTCCTCGGCGGAGCCGTGCATAACCGGGCCGGCACGCAGGCCGTGGTACTCGGTTCCAACCTTTACTTTACCCACAGCCAGGCCTCTTTGGTTCTTAAAGGCACCACCGTATGCCACTCGGGCTGCTGAGACGATGGTGTCGGTCTTCTTGACCAGAGTCTGATAGTACCTTCTGTGTCTGAGCGTCCTGATGGCTTTGTTACTGACATGTTCGATCTTCATCTTGAGCCATGGGTGCTCAAGAGCCTCGTG